ATGGTCTGGTCAAAAATCACAATTTCTTCGATAACTCAGCCATTTCTTGACGAATCCTTCTCATCTTCGAACTTGACCGAGATATTGTCAAGACTAAGCTGTGTAGAAAATTTCATCACAATCTGACTCTCCTTTCGAAAGTTATCGTGTAAACGGCCGGACGGACACACAGACCGATTTTAGTAGTGTACTCACTTTTTGAGTACACTAAGAAGAAAACTCATATCAATGACTTATTTTTCACAATATAAAATACATGTGTTTGTTATATTTCAATTGTAATTTCAAAGTGAGTCAAACAAAACGAAGTATTTTGCAATAAATTTTGTCGACGTTTCGAATTTCAAACTCACCAAAAATATACAACAGTTGAAAAGCTCTTTAAAAAAGAAATCGTTCTATCGAAAGATACAAATCAAATGAAGTTAATCGTTATGTGCTTTCATTATTTTGACCATGTTGCCCTATATCTCTTCTGTTTTTTATTCTTTTGTACGTGGAAACTATACAACGAAATAGTTTCATCGAGACAAAGATTGTTTTCATGGATTATTCCTACTATGATCAACAGAAATATATTATCGATTAATTTAGTTATGTATAAATCGAAAACAAAATCATTAATTTGCTAATCATTTCAATGCAATTAGTAGAGTAATTAAATATCTTATATTTATCTTATTCAATGAGAATATCCCATTTCAAGCATTGTATAAATTTTGACATTAGAAAGAACAGTATCATCTTCTATTATGACCTTTTTATCAACAAAAAAAAAATTTTCTATTATTACACTATTTTCTTGTACACAAAATTTACGATAATCAACAACTATTTGTTGATTTTTCACTTCATTCCAATAGTCAAAACTGTTATTGCTTCACCAACGTTTTAATGAACTCATAATTTTCAATGAGACCATAAATGATATCTATAATTTAGAAAATATATTTCAGTTTCGATTTTAGTTCGAAACTAATATCAATAAATAAGACAACAAACTATAGATTAATTTAATCAATGTGACAATTATATGCTTATATTAGAAGAAAATCTTTGATATTTATATATATATATGACCTTTTTATTAAGAATAAAGTTTTTTATCTACTTCATAATCAAGAAAAAAAAGAGCTCAAATCATCGATGTTTATCTTTAAAAAGTATCTATGCATTTTTTTAAAATATCTTTCTATTTACCGATTTATTTTTTCTTTTGTCGTTTTAGCTAGCAATATGTGTATTTATCGATTCTTAAAGCTATCAACTATAATCAGCATGCAGAAAGAATACAAAATATCAATGCATGACAGAAAAGGCAACAAATATTATAAGTGTGTCGTTGTTAAAAAATATTTTGTTTTGCTTTAGTATGAACCTTCTAGTGTTTTTTTGTTAGAACTATTCAAGGGGAAAAAAAGGAATAATTTGCCTATACGTATAGCCTGGAAGTGTAATGATAACTGAACATAATTTATATGAACTATGTAAAGATATGTCCAGATTTCGTATACGCATTAAAAATGGTAAAAGTTTGTAAGAGTGGTGTCATAGACTATCTTCTTTCTTTTATCGTAGATACCAATCCTTGAGGGTGTGGATGTGGGGTGCGTGTAAATGAAGAGAAGATTGATACTCATACCTACACCCACACCCTCAATATGTACCTGATGGATTTAGAACATATATGATTTATTCGACTTAATGATATTTGTATATTATTATAAATTATGTCATGAATAGATGCAATCATCCAAAATAAACATGTTAACAACACCATTTTTACTGGAATAGAACGAGATAAAAACACGATGTTGATTTGATATACTGATTATATATCCAAAATATTATTTTCATAAATAATTTTATTTGAATAAAACAATAAGTATGATAATAACCTATCAATAGGAGTTAATAACATATATCATCGAGGTAACATTAATAAAAATCCTACGGGAAAAAAATCTTAATTTACAAACAAATGACGATGTTGATGATGGATCAATATTAAAACTAATGTGCAGAAGTCTTAATAAAGCTACGAGATTTAAATAGAGTGCAAAACCACTGGAAGCAAATATTAAATAAAGTGAACATGGACTTGATCAAACCATTTTTACTAACTGAGAAAAGAATAACATTAATAATAGATCGAATATAGCCACCTAGAATTATAATTTCTCTGACCGATGCATAATTTTTGCAAAGTCAGTCCTTGTATTGTCCAGTGCCAACTCGTGTTCGATTAGATATTGATTGTAGTTCGTTAGCTTCTATATCAACATCAAATCCTTCATTCTTCATATAAGAATTGAATCGTTTTCCGTACAGTTCTATGTAAAACAATTTTTATATGTTATATACTCGAATAACATTACTTCTTCGATATAACGATGGTAGTTAAACAAAATCAGATAATGTCTTTCTTTCAGAATTAAAAAGAAAAGAGCGAGAACGGTTTTGATAAAAATCCATCTTCTCTTAAAATTTTATCGAAGAGTTCAAATGAGACACAAGATGAAACAGAATTATCTGCAGAAACATCATCATTAGAACTAGCCAAAAGCTCAACATCAGTTTTATTAACGATCCGCTTTGATTTTCTTTTAAAAAAGTCAAGATAAAAAAAACTTTTTCTCAGCCAAATATTTTTATTTCATGTTAGAACGTTTTTTTGCTTATTTTTCTTTAAACAGTCTTTTCCAGTTAGTTCATTACTTTCTATTTTATCACGAAACAATAAAGCATTAGATAGTTATCATACCTATATAGAATTAAAATCTAGGAAGAGAACCTAAAGCCATCACTATTTTAAACAAATGAAGGAAGCCACTTTTCAATCCGTTTCCACTCACATCAAATAGCAGAGTTGCAATAAAAAATAATTCAATTAAACCTAACAGAAAATCGATAAAAATGATATAATTTTAATCGATTTTAATCAGAAGCAATCGAAAAACTTAAAACTTCATTAAAAAAATCGATTTTAACTGGTTTTTCTTGATGATGAACGAAGTCTTCAACGATGTTGATCGGCCTGTATCAACTATAATTGGTTCTTTTTAGAAAGTTTTAATTGATTGTAATCGAAACTAATCGTGATGATCGACGAAATATAAATTTGAATCTAATTTCAGCCCTAATATTTTCAAATCGTTAGATCTTACATGGCTAAAAAGTTGAGCCTACCTTAGACTGAAATCTTTCCGCCCCCTATGGCACCTTGACCACCTTTACCGCCTTGACCACCTTCACGTGTTTCAAAATCAGCAAGAGAACTATTGATGAACTCACTTAACTTTTTGATTAAATTTTCATCATCAAATACCTTTCTAAAATATTTGTAAAAAAAATTATTAAACCAAAAAAATATTATTTAGATTACCCATCATTGACATAATCAGCTATTGATAAAAAGGTATCGTATGGTTTTCTATTGATCTAAAAGAAAAATTTTGCCGTTAAATTTTAATAATAAAACATTACTTTTAAACTTAAATAGTAAAATCGTTGATCAACAGCTTGTTTTGTTTCTATATCAATGTCACCTTTTCGATACGTGACTTGTAAAAATTGGGGATTGCGTCGATGACAAGGCAAAATCTCTTTTTCCTAAAAAAAGAAACAAATAAACAAAAAAAAGACATAGAATTCTTACTTCGTCTGCCACATCGGCGATGACGAAACCTTCTTTCAAAAAGCAGTAGTGACATGATACCATAATAGGATCATATTTATCACCAAATACACGCTTATGGAGGAATAGCATCGCTCCCAAAAATGTTCGATGTGACATGGTAATGATTGATAATGGATATTATCAATTAAAATTAAAATCTTAAAATAAAAAAAAGAGATTTATTTTTTTTTAAATGAAGAGTTTGGGGTACGCGTGAGCTGAGGTGAAGATATGTGAGCATCATTAATAAGAACAGTTGGACTGATTGGACAATATCATTTAGATTCAATACTCATCTCATACCATCTTCATTTAAATATGTTAATAATAGTTGATCATTTTTATTAAATAATAATAAAGCAAGATTAGAAAAAAAAGCAAAATGTAAAATTTTACCTTTAGAAAAATTGATTTGTTTTAACCTAAGTTGAGTAAAAATCTAATTTGTTGAAATTGCATCACTACCACCATGTAAATGTGTACCGAATTTACCAGCTGATACAAGAAAGTTAATGTTGTTTGAAGCAACAAAATTGTATGCAAGACCAACGATTGTATTTGTTAATCATAATTCATCATGATGATAAACTGAATTTTCAGTAACTTTATCAGCTAATTGTGCAACTTTTATTTTACTTATTAATTTTTTTGTAAAACAAGCAAACATTATTTTACGTTGACCGGGTTTGAGATCATCCTTTAAAGATAAAACTTTAAGAAAAAAAAAGAAGAGATTTTTATATAGATTAATTGATCATAATACTTGGAATTGCTTGTTCAGTACTTGATTTGGAAAAAAGAATAAGTTCTTTATTGATAAATTTATTTCAATTAATTTGTTTTGTATCTTTTTCTTATATAAATAATCGACTGATAAATTTTGTTCACCTTGTTGTTTAATATCTTCTGTATGCCATTTAATCAAATCTTTTCGATCCTCACTTAATGCACTATTAAAAGTTAATTGTATAGCTACATCATCTTTTATTAAATCATATTTAAATATAATACGATAATGATCCATATTTGAAATATATTCTTTTGCTTGTTTAGCTGTAGATGTAGTCAAACCTGAAATTTCGTATAAATATATTTATTATTTTTATATGAAAAGAAAAAAACCTTTGTAGTATTTGCATTTCTATTTTTGCTAATTTGGTGTTGATGCTTCCCATTGTTCAAATTCAGGTCAGATATTGAATAAAATGGAATTACATCATTACCTTCTGTAGCCTAAAAAAAATATATATATTGTAAGATATTAAATGTGTAGAACCAATTTATTACTGGTCATCGGAATAGGACTGGAGTAGTGGCGGAGCCAGTGGATGACTGGAGAGGGCTGAACTCCCTCCAGAAATCTTTAAGACTCCTTCAAGAGAAAATTATTGAGCTTAGTTGTTCTTTTGAAAAACTTGAAAAATCAAACAAGATGTAAATGAGAATGGTTATTCTGAACTATTCACTAGAATCTAGGTTGATGTTTATGAAGAAATCGTGCATTTCATTTCTTCAGGACATGCCATTCTTTAATATTCATTCACGTTTTTGTCGAACAATATTCGTAAAAATGACTTATCATTTGTTTTTTTATGACTATAAACAGACATCTGTACAAACAATTTACTTTAACTGTTTCAGCCACAACATGCGAGTGTATAACTTCAGTAAAATGATGCGTATCAAGAGATCTACAAGGGATAAAATATATGATTTCATCATTCGAACTAGGAGGGAAACGGTGCATCGGGTCCTGTTTTACAGATTTTCTGACATGTTTTCTTAGAATTTTGGATTGAGGGCTATGAAAATTCATCTAGAGTATGAAGTCATCAAAATGGATTTCCGATTTTCAGACATGTATTAGAACTATCGATCAAAGATTTGTAAAACAGAGCAAGATGAACATTATTAGGACCAGTTCATAATGACCCAATAAGCGTTTACTTGCGAGAAATTAACCAATTTTTCGATAAAACACACGGAAGAAGTACGTTTTTTCGCACATTTTGGTAAAAGTTTGCTGTGTCGATTCATCTCAAAAACTGGGTTTTCTTGACGAAAAAATCTAAAAAACTATGCTAGAAAATCTGTCAGATAGGATCTGATGCATTGCTATCTCCTTTTTTCCAATGGTGATGATTGTAGGCCTTTACTATGCTTCCATCAAAAGTTATTTAAACGATATGCATGTCTTTTTTTTGACATGAATACCAGTAATTTTGAACTCCAACAATGGTCGGAACTAAACCTCCCAGAACTTTTTCCTGGCTCCGCCACTAACTGAAGGTCAAAAAGAAAAAACTTTACTACGAAAGAGACCGGGACCATTGAAAACAGAAGTTACCGAAACTGGCTCGGAACTAAAAAAAAAGGAAAAACTTAGTCCTGCACATCTCTATTCCTAGTAGACTTAGTTCAGGGTGCCGAGACGAATCAGCTTTGCTCTCAAAATATTGTTTTGTATAATTTCTTACTTTAAGAATTGATGTAATAAATACTGTAACATAATCATGTTTGAGTAAATTCAGCCATTTATAATAAAAATAATAACAAGATCTTTAATATGACTACCATCTCGATCTTGATCAGCCATAATCATTAATTTTTCATAATGTAATTTTGATAAACCATTTCTATTAGCATATTTTTCTCCATAATTTAAATCAAGAATTTTAATTAATTGTGCAACTTCACTATTTTCTGTCATTGTTTTTTTTGTTATTGCTTCTCGAACATTTAACATTTTATCTTTCAATGGATAATCACCATAATGATCATGACCAATAACACCAAGATCATCTACAGCATGTGCTTTAGCTGAATCTTCTTCGGTTACAATTAATGTACAATATTAGGAATTTTTTGTACCAGCATCATTTGCACCACCTAATTTCGGAATACCTTTGAGTTTCGATCTTTTTGAACCATTTTGTTTTTATAATTTAGCATCTTGTCGATGTTCAAGTCAATTAAGTACAGACTCAACAATACCAGTTTTTTTTAAATAATGTCTTTTATGAAATTTTCATCATCTTTCAATGGACACATTGAACTGAAATGTTCACGTTCTGTAGCTAATTGGTTTCATCTGTTTGACATAAACAAGACAAGAGATTTTTACGAATTGAATAAACACAGAAATCTTACTGGAATACGTTTGCCACTAAGTGTTATTTTACAATCAGTTGATATAGCTATATCATAAGCGCGTCGTTTAAATAATGCCACAAGATCATCATCGAATTTTTCCATTTCAAAAATGTTTTAAATCGAGTGTAAATGTAACACGAGTAAATTCTTTTGGAATATCACTTGTTTTAGTGATGATTGCATCTTGTGGATCACGCATATTGTTTGCCTAAGTCTATATGAAACTATTCATCAGATAATTGATAGATAAAAATAGAAAAAACCGACTTGTTTAAATGATTTTTTATATTCTTTCGAACAGGTTTCAACGGTATATTTTGTACTAAAAATATTTGTTACTTTGGCATCGTAACCATTTCGACCACCTATTGTCATAGATAATATGAAAAAAAAATTCGATAAGTTTCAATCTTACCAGTAACTCGTTTTTGATCATCATTGAAGTTATCTGTGAGAAGTTTACCAAAAATTAATGTGGGAATATAGATTGATTCATCTTGAGCCAATTTACGAATTGAAATACCACGACAATCATTATAAATCTTGATTTCACCTTTTTCTCTAAAAAAGGCAGTATAGAAGAGAGAGAATTTGTGTTTGTTTTCTTCAAAATAAACTTACTGATTGATATCTATTTCGATGGATGTTATTGTTGAATCACGTTGTTTATTATCAGCAGCATTGACTAAATGAAACAGAAAAAAAAGTGAAAATGTGATAGTTTTAAATAGTGCAGATTATTTTACCTAGAATTTCATCAAAAATTTTATAAATATCAGACACATAAGTCATTTCTTTTTTTATAATTTTCAATCCTTCTTCACCTTTTGCATCAATAATCCACATTTTCTTTAAGCAATCATGATAGAAGAAATATATATAGAAATAAAAATCATACTTCCTGACATGGCTTATTTGAACCGATATGTTTCTGATCGTTTAAGAATGCGATCAGATTGTTCGAGAAGTTGATATGTTTCTTCATCTTTATTTGATGCATTGCCGATGGATTTGTTCATTGAAGATGCCATTACAAAAGCATTGTCTTCAATAGAAAATAGCGTTTACAAACAAGTATAACGATAGATACTTGTCTGTTGTTGCACCAAATCTAAAAATGAATAATAGTTAGATGTGAAACGACTTTTGTCTATTCCTCTCCGTTTAAATAGTACAAGTGAAATGAAATGATTTTTATCTATTCCTCTCTGTTTATATAGTCATGTGAAATGACTTTTATCTATTCCTCTCCATTTAATTAGTCATGTGACACTTTGTTCGAATCTATAGTTTATTCTCTCTTCGAATAAGTCTTTGTAGTAGATCTAAAATTTCTATGGATTATCGCTTTATATTCAAATGATTAGTTAATTTAAAATGAGCACTATTGTTGTTCATTTAACTTGTACAAATATGTATAATTTATTATTTTTCAATGAGATTAATATGTAATTCAATATTTCGTAATATCAAAACAAAAAATGTTTCCATTTTATTTCGATAGATGCCCTTATCTTTCATTTTAACGATATAAATAGTATAACGGAACTAGATAAAGAGTTCTGAAAAATCTTTTTTGTGATTATTATAAGTATTGAAGAGAACTCATTTTTAGAAAGACGATATTTATGTAAATCAGGCTTCGTCTGACTCGTTATATTATTTATCTTAATAGAGCAATATCGTATACTACTAGAAGTGGAGATCGTCTAGAAATAATAGATTTCTCACATTTGTGCTGAAAAACAAAGTTTTTTTTCTTTGCTTCTACTTTTGACAAAAGTAGAAATTAGCGTGCATGCTATTTTGGAATTGAAATATGTTACTCATCATATTTATATCACAATGAAACTAATGAACTTTTGCATAATGAGTGACATTAATTTCATCATTCTATACTAACAAGGAATTAATCAACCATGCTCAAATGTTCCTATATGAAATTGATAGTCGTCCTCAATGTAAAAATGTGGACATAATACGATAGCAAATATTTCATATTTAACAGCTGCTTTTTCTACTGATCTAAATATAATCCATTCATACAAATTTTCATTCATTATAATATCACATATTTGAGATATTTAAGAGTTAAATGATCATGAAATCATAATTCTGTAACTATCTCTGAAATGCATTGTAATATGAAATCCAATATTTTCAATAAATAGTTTTAAACAGATAATAGTGTATTGAAGTAAACCATTAAGAAATGATAAAAATTATTCACCGATCGTTTGTTTGGATCGGTGACAAAATTTAAAGTAAAAAAAAAAAGAAACAAAACAAGCAAAATTTAGTTAAAAACATTTGCTTATATATCCAGAATTACATGTACAGAAAATCTTTGACACGTAGTAAACAATGAAGTGATATTTAGATTATATTGGGAAATCTTTTTGCCAAACGAAATATCCTTCGAGCTTGTTGAGCCGGGCCAAGCGAAATGTGAATCGGGCCGGACGGGTCTATAAAATATTTAGACCACTTTGGGCCTAGTCGAACTACGAAAAATTGGCCTATTTTCGAGCCCTACCATTTTGAATAAAATTATTTGTTTCATTAGCTCATCCAAACAAATCTATCTACTTGTTTTGTAAACCTAAAACAAATTATCTTTAGCTATTGTCTACGTGTCATGAAAAGCATTTCTTTCAAAAGGAAGATCTATAGGTAAAGAAAAAGATATAAATTGATTTGTGAATAGCCATAATTTATTTAGTGGTTTTATATCATCAAGCACCATATCTATTGGACTAATATCTATGTTCAATTTTGGTGCAGACTTTTTAGAGTTCGGCGATTCCAAAAAAACTGGAACCGAGAACCGAATCTGAACTGTATACAATCATAGACATATGAAAAAAAAGTAAAACCTGTTTTGAGAAATCTTGATTCTTTAAGTTTTTAAATTAAAGATTCTAGTACGTATGTAAAATGTTGTTTTATCTAAGTAGTAAAGTGTGAGCCCCCTTTAATATGAACAATTCAGGAGCTAAGATTTCTCAAAATTAGTTTCAAAAATTTCCACATATATCTTGTGATTTAGCGGTTATGGTTTCACATGATTTTTTGGGAATCTAACCGACATCGTTTTCTTTTTCATTTGTACTACCTCGAACCGGAACCGCAGTCCAGGCTTCAGGTAATTTTAGTAACCGCAGAACTCTACTTTCGGTATACGTAGCCTTTTCCTAATTTCGATTTTGATCAATTTCAAGTTATAAACCAAAATGAAATAAAAATGGAAGTTGTGAAAGCTGATAAATATAGTCACAATCCTTTTCTGTTCCTTATCCTCTGATATTTTATTTTTCTCTATATTTCCTTTCTCTACCATTATCCTTTATAATGTTAATGTGATTTTACTATTAATAATAGTCTTTCTACTTTTTATTGTGACTTGACTTTTCTTTGTTCATATGTTTAATTATCATTGTAGCACTATATTTATGGTTTTTTTCTTTTACTGTCACCGAGACGAAGTTCTTCCATGACAACGAAGCGTGATGATACCCCGCACATTGCATTTCTTAAAATAAAGCAATATTATAGATATAAAGAAATTTTGTCAGCCTTCATTCGCATATAGGACAAAAAGAAAGAAAGTGAAACAATGCCATTTTTTCATTCGTCGTGAATTGTGATTATAGAAAAATGTCTCATTGTTTTCATTGGTGATGAATGACGACACGGTCAAATAGAGAGAATGAGCATAAGTATATATATAAATATTCATATTTATAAACGAAAAGAATAGATCAGTGAAAATAAATATGGAACATTCATCGGTTGAATTAAATGATTTACCTAATGAGATTCTTATGATTATTTTGAAAAAATTGTTCAATGTCCAAGTATTGTACTCTCTAATAGGTGTTAACAAACGACTCCATGCAATTGTACATGATCCAATTTTTACAAATTTCTTAACGTTGATGAGATGTGTCTCAGATGATTCCATCGATCCATTACCTGATCCAATGCTTGATCGATTTTGTTTACAAATCTTACCTTCGATTCATCATAAAATCAAATGGCTTAATGTTGAATCATCATCTATGAAACGTATTCTTCTTGCTACAAATTATCCGAATTTATATGGACTTGGTTTATATGATATTGAGATAGAAGCAGCTCTGTCTCTCTTTATTGGTAAGATCTTTTTTTTCGATTCTTTCAATAATTAATTAATGAAAAATATATGCAAAAATCAAAATGATTTTAAATATCTATTTTATACAAATAGATTTAGTTTATTACATATCTTTTTTTTTTCTTATAAAATATTTCTGAACTTTATTGATACAAACTGACGAACATAAATTCGAAGAAAATTAGTAGTAGAAAAACAATACAAGGAAACCCGAATAAATAAAACAATATTTGAATAAATTTTTTTAGTATCTTTAATTGAAATTTTAAACATTGATTCTGAAAGAGAAAAGGGTAGAATAAAATAAATGACTAAACTAAAATACAACATCGATGATGCAATGTAATTTATTAATGAATTTGAAAGAAAAAAGATCACACATACATTATCAAATTGTTAAAAGAAAAAAAAATTGATAAATAGATTGATTTTATGATCAATATAAAACCTAATAAACATGTGTTTCATTGACTTTGTATTTTTATTTAGATGAACCTTCCTTAACTTCTATAGATAAAAATCAAATCTTATCGCTTGTGATCAGTCGTACTACATATGGAAAAGTAAGTTTAACGAAGGATATGGATTCACGAATATTAACACATATCTTTACTACGTTCTCCAATTTACAACATTTAAATTTTTGTGCATCTTCAATTTGGAATGGACAATTATCATTTGTCAATCCGTATTCAGGTATTAACTCTTCAACTCTCTTAGAATTGCATATCCGTTTGATGTCGTTCTCCGACTGTCTTTATATACTTGATGGACGTTTCAATAAACTTCATACATTTCATGTTGATATTAAGTACATTTTCCCTTCGGATTTAAGAAATAATAATCAGGTAGATTATTTTGGTTAATAATTAATTTTTTCGAACAAATTCAGTTTATGATTTTTTTAGAAAATATTACCTATACCTAATATAAGATGTTTTTCACTATACTGTGAAGTGATGACAAATGGTTATGATGAATTAATTGTGCCACATCTACAACGAATGTCGAATTTAGAAAAACTCTGTTTGAATTTTGTTATTTATGGCAAAAATACATTTGTTGATGGAAATGAATTGAAGAAGAATATTATTAATTATATGCCACGATTAAAGAGATTTCAATTTTATATTTGTTCATACCTTTATCTTTGTAATCAAATTTATCTACCATCAAAAGAAGATATTCAACATACATTCAGAGATTTTGAAGATGATCAAATTATTTCTTATATTGATTATTTCCAAAAAGAACAATATACTTTATGTCATATCTATTCATATCCGTTCAAATTAAAGTATTACCATACTATAACAAATAATTTTCCAGGTGGATTATTTAAATATGTTCATGAACTATTATTATATGATGAACGTCCTTTTGAACATGAATTTTTTCTTCAAATTGCTCAATCGTTTCCATTTATTAAAAATTTGTCTATAAAAAATTCGAAACCACAAAATAACAAATTATGTAGAGAATCAAAAAATGACAATCAAGGTTTTTCTATCATTAAATATCCTCATCTTATTGGTCTTACTCTTAATCAAGCTCATCACGATTATATTGAAGAATTCCTAGTTGATACGAGAACATGTTTACCGAATAATGTTGTTCATCTTAACATTTTTTACCACCAATTGAAAAGGGTGACACATCATTTTACAAGAGATACAACACGAATCAATTGTGCAAAACTGCATTCTTTATGTCTCAGTGGTCGTCGACTTCCTAAATATGCTAAAGACTATTTTCCACATGTATAAATATTAATTACTATTAATGCTTATGTAAAATGAAAGTATTGAAAATAGACACAATTTATTTTATATATAATTGAAAAGACCTACATCTATGTATGTACAGGAAGAATTATATACATGATAATCCTGGACTGATAAAAAACATAGTAAAAAATAGTTATTTTATACGAAAAAAATTCAGAATAACAACTCAAAGTCGAGTTATTTGGTACCATATAATCATGAAATACATCTTTTAGAATTGAAAATAAATAGAAAGCTGCAGAGTTGGAACCGGTCCGACTGGACCGGACCGGAATTTCACCGGTTGAAAGTTTTGAAAACTCTTCTTTGTTAACCATGTTTTTGACCATAAAAGCTAAGGTGTCACATGCTTTTCTGTAAGAATACGTACAGAAGTGCTGAAAACACATGTTGTTTTCATTATCTATTCTGAGATTCTCTGTAAAAAGATTCATTGTGATGAGTGTCTTTTACAGACACTGTTGAACTATTTCATATTTGGAGCCATTTTTTTCTAAGAATCGTTTTTTCAAGAAAATGTCTTCATTTTTTCGCTGGTTTTCACCGGAATTTCACCAGTTGGATATGTGATTCCAAGCGGTCAGTTTGCCGGCCAGATCGGACCAGTTTACGATTTCCCCACCGGTTCCGGTTCTGGAAAGCTGAGAACTGTAAAACAAAAAGCTATTAACATAATCTATATTGGATTCAAATCTTGAACAAGAAATATCTGTTTTATTAAGGGAATAATTAAGGTATTACATAAACCAACTTTTTAAATTTGTCTGCATAAATTTCTACTGTTTCATTTTAGTAATTAGGAAAACGATACAGTAGACCTCATTTTTGATGTTATATCTGTGACGATCTGTAAGGAAATTGGATAAAATCATTTTACTTAAGAGTAGGTCTCTGAGAAAGTCAGATATCAATGATAGTGAGATGTAGGTGTTTGCAAAAGAACTTGGATAACTTTTCATACAAGTGGTTCCTTACTCATGTATCTAAAACAAAACTAACTGCAGTTCTTTATGGTCATTACATAGCTTAGCTATCGAAGATTCATTCATGAAAAAAAAAGAAGTTTGTAGTTGCTTCGATCGAGAATAAAATGATCCCCAGAAATCTTACTTTTTTCCAAGTTTTTTTTTCAAACACCTCTATGTCAGATTTTGCTGTTTTTTATTATATATTATAGACAGTAGTGGGCTTAGTATTGCCCGCAGTTTTTAAAAATGCAGATATTCCTAAAACTACAAAAAAGAAGAGAACGTAGTTATCTTGACTTTAATTGTAAAACATCTTATATAATTAAAAGGCAATGTAACTATGAGTATTGTTTGAATGTTCACAGCTTTTACAGATTTCCATTGATTTCACCATTAATTAGGAGTTCATTTTTCTTTCAAAATCGATCGAAATAAAAGTTTATAAAACCTTGATGTTCAGAATTTTTTGACAAAATTTTCATATATTAATATTCGTGAAGCAGCTGAATGGTTTTATTTATATGTTCGTATAATAAAAGAACCATAAAGTATATGAAATAGCAAATCAACCATTTTTTTGTTGATAAAATATCTTCTTCAACAATATTTATATTTAATGTATTCAGCAGCTCTATATAATTAGATAAATATCATTGAATACATTATGATCATGAAACAAATAATTTTCAAGTAATTGGACGTAGTCGTATATTAAAGTCATTATTATTATACACATGAAACAATTACCATGTATAATCAATTATTATAACCAACATTCAGTGAAACAGATTTATTTTGTATATTTTCATTATCACAAGAATTTTGTCATATAATGGTATGATAAGAAGAAAAAATTGAATTACAAAAATTACTTGAATGTATATCAATATCAATTCAAAAAAATATTGATGAAACAAATGAAAAAATACATGTTCTTTTACAAGCAAATATATCACAATTAAAACTTGATGGATTTGCTTTTAATGGTTGATATAATTTATATAACACAAAGTGTTGATTGATTAATGAGAACTATTTATGAAATGGTTTTAGAATGTGAATGGGCACAATTAGTTGATAAAACTAAGTTTATCGAAAATGATTGATAAGTGAATGTAAGAAAGAAAAAAAAACGTTTTTTGTTTTATTATTAGATTCTTTAGTTTTTGTTTTTTTTTGTTAGATGGCAAAATGTGTTCATTAAGACAATATAAAAAAATCTGAGAAGAAATTATCCGAAAAATTGAAAAGAAAAATATATATTAGGATAGATTTTATGATTTAGATGCACATGAAATCGGTTACAATGAAAGACTTGAGTTTTCTTTTCTTTTTTAATATCTATTTAGATTTTCTTTTCTCTTAGGTGAATTGATTTGTGCACCAAAATTTGAAAAAAAACAACATATAAATATGTTCATCAGGTACTTAAATTAAAACTAGATGCACATTTTTCACTAATAACCAGATCAAAATTAAAAATGGAATTAGCTATAGCAATAGATTTTCAATAGAATGATAAAGTTCATGAAATAGCTAAAGTAAGTTTATAGTCATATAAAAAAGAAAAAGAAATTTTTTTCTTTTACTCTTTTTTGAATTTAAGTTGAAGGTGTTGATTCAGAAATTTTACTTCATCATGAATATTTTCTTCTTAAAAAGTAACAGTTAAGACTTATTATCATTTATGAGGGAATGAAAACAGAATTATTTTTCTATAATATGATAATAAGTATTAAAATGGTTAAATCTTCTACGAAAGAAAAAGGATTTGAAATAAAATTTGTTTTTTTTTCTGGACGATTGAATATGCTCTATGATCTGGATATATGAAAAGAAAATTAAGATACAAAGAACAAAAAGATTTTTTATCTTCATATCCAATATCAACATGGTTGATAGTCTACAATGTACTAGTTTACCATGAGCAGCACTATTGATTAGTTGAAAGTATTCTCTTGTTAGCAAAAAATGACCGATAAAAAAATTAGCTTTTTCACAGTAAATTCCTGATGAAAGAAGATTTTCTACAGAAAAAATGACTGCATGCATTGTGTAAACTCAAATGAACTATGAATATTTTGAAAAGTGGTCATATCCTTAGTGTATTGCTGTGGAGATGCTTTTTAAAGGTATTTTTTAAATGAATGCTATAATGTTCTCAGAAAAATTACGAGATTCATTTAAAAATTATTGTAAAAGTGCAGGATATTTAGAGCTGATCGAGATCTATATAATGAATATAGTTTTCATTCAAAGTCGATTTATCAATTTAACGATTTCTTTCATCAGAGATCATTCGTGATAAATTCTTTTGTTTATGATCACTCATTCTTCTCTAAATAGTAGAAACTCATATGTTTAATGAAAAAAGATATGATTATGAAAGAAAATAAGTCAAGTACATCCTGAAAAGTAGATTTTTGCTTCTTCACTGTTACGTAAGTCGAATAACCTACATGATTTTTACTTTTTATTGTAGAAAGTATTGTGACGATGAACATTATGTTGAAGTTTTGTTCCTGCATTTGAAAAATCATCATCACCATATTTTATTTGTATTATATCTCAAAAAATGGATAGCATCAGAAGCTCAAGTTGCCTTTTCATTTTGTTATTTAATATTAGCAGAACTATATAATACAGATTATATCTGTGTTTCTTGACGCATCAGCACGTTCTGAAAAAAATAATTTGTGCTGAATTTGCCATATTAAGATTATTTTCAAATGAAAAATTAAAAGAAGATCCTGAACCAAAATGTGTTTATTTTATATCAAAAAAAGAATTAGCTGAAATAGTACGGCAAGATTAGGATTGACGTTTTGCAACAATCAATCGAAAACTTGTTATTTTCACTTGTGAAGCAGTTACGGATCTTAAATTAATTACTTAAATATATTGAAGAAACAAAGGAAGTATTTTAAAAAAATATTTTATTTATCTTCTTTTAGCGTCATATTATTATTTTAATACGAGAAAAATTGTATATAATATCACACTGATGGAAACAAAGAAATAATGTTCAAAATGTTAATTTATTTATTGTTGATGATTTACATGTTATTGGTTCAGATGATGAAGTAAGTTATATAAACACCATAAACTCATATATTCGGAAAAATACTACGAATGTTGAAAACACATAATCTCGGTTTTTATTTGGTTTTGCGAAAGAAAATTAACAAAAGGACATTTGCGTAAGGAAAAGACGATTATGGGAGTGCTTACTTTTAAATACGCCAACGATCAATATTATATCGATTTTAGTGAACCTTCTTTTATCCTTATTATTTCCTTAAATTATCTTCACTACGAAAGTGTCACTATAACACTTTGTCGCATTACTTGTTGCCTCTCGATGTAGAATGAAAATCAAAGACTTATAGTATTACCTGGAACTATTGCTAAGAACCAACAATAGAACCTATGAAAGTTCAACAAATTTGTCAATAGACGGAATTCCTAATAGGAACAATTCCAGCTATTTCTATTCTAAAAGTGGTTAGCGAAATGCCTGTTTGATTAAAATGAGAAATACCGCTCTAGAAATACAATAACGAACTAGTGCATAGACGGTATTTGATTATATAAGAACATCTGTTACAATCCGTAAGGAGAGAAAAGTTCAAAAATATTGACACCTATGCTTCAACACTCTTACTAAATTATGTTTCACAGTATTGCATGAAACTTGATTTTTTTTTCTATTCTGTTCTTTTCTTGAACTCATATGTTCTCGTATGCGTTATATGAGTTCTCAAATTGGACAAAATATTCGAATAGTAGCTACGGCTACATCAATATTTAATGCAAAAGACATTGCATAATGGTTTGGTTGTAGTACAAATACAACATTTAATTTTCGACCAAGTATTCGACCAGCTCAACTTGAATTACATATTCAAGTAAGTTTTTTTCTACTGTTTTAATATTTATTAAAAATAAATGAATAATATAGCGTTTTAATATGACACATCATGCATCATGTTTAATTGCAATAGCTAAACCTGTTTATCAAGCAATAAATCGTAATTCATCAAATCATCCATTTATTGTTTTTGTTCCATCACGTAAATTATGACGTATGACGGCTATTGATATGTATAAACATTTTGCTGCTACTAAACAAAAACAAGATAGATTTTTTTTACATATATCAACAACTGAAATCGAACCATTTACAAATGAATGTGAAGATCGAATATTAAAAAAGAAACTGCTTTACGTGGTGTTGCTTATTTACATGAAAGTTTAAATCATAAAGATCGTACAATTGTTGAAGAATTATATACAGCTGGTGGTTTACAAGTTTGTATTGTATCATGTAATATGTTATGGACATTATATTTATTTTCATATTTGGTTATTATTATGGATACAAAATATTATGATAGACAAGATCATACATATGATGATTATCCTATAAGTGATATTTTACAAATAATTGATTGAGCTAATCGTCCATTAAGAGAAATTGATGCTAAAGTTGTATTAATGTGTTTATCATCTAAAAAATATTTCTTTTTAAAATTTCTTTATGAACCATTATCTATTGAATCACGCCTTGATCATTGTTTACATGATCATTTTAATGCTGAAATTATACCAAAAACAATTGAAAATAAACAAGATACTGTTGATTATTTAACATGGACATTAATTTGTAGACGTATGACACAAAATCCAAATTATTATAATTTACAAGATGTTTCACATCGACATTTATCTGATCATTTATCGAAGTTATTTGAAAATATATTAAATGATCTTGAATGATCAAAAGTAAGAGAAAATTCTTAAAAAAAACGAAACAAAGCCTTTGTTTTATTTATTTAGTGTATTACAATTGAAAATAAAATGGATACATTGCCATTAAATCTTGATATGATTGCTGCTTATTATTGTATTAATTATCGAACAATTGGTAAGTATTGGATTTAATAATTATCTAATGAATTTTTGTCGAACTTTTGAAATCAAATTCGAACTCATTAAATACTCATTGAATAGTTCTACTCCAACTGTAATATACCATTTAAGATGATAAAGAGCCCACAATGAGATCTTAGTAAGACTAGAAAAATTTGAAAAAGGTGTATCCACATGTATCTTTGGAGCTGAGTTATGACCGTTTTACTAAATTTTTGATCCATTGTTAGTCATTTACTGGAAGCTCATATGACGTTTTTTTCGATCTAAAATTTTCTCCATCGATAGATCTAATGAACCTTCGAATACTTAAAAAGTATCAGCTGAAAAGAATCTTCCTTAGTAGCAATATTAAGTTTTCAAGTAAACATGGTTTTTTTTTCGACATGTCTGTGGCAAACGACTATTTTTGTTTAAACCCAATATCTTGATAAAAGAACATTATTTTAAGATGAAACTTTCAAGGTATTCTACAAGTCATTAGATCCATCGATGGAGAAAATTTTAGATCGAAAAAAACGTCATATGAGCTTCCAGTAAATGACTAACAATGGANCAAGGAAAACCTTATCATTAAAATAATATTTGAATAAAATTTTCTAGTGTCTTTAATTGAAATTTAAAACATTGTTTCTGAAAGAGGAAAGGGTAGAATAAAATAAATGACTGAAATAAAATAGAGTATAATTTATTAAAGAATTTCAAAGAAAAAAGATCACACATCTACATTATCAAATTGTTAAAAAGAAATAAATAAATAAAGAGATTGATTTTATTATCAATATAGAACCTAATAAACATGTCTTTCATTGACTTTCTATTTTTTTTTATTTAGACGAATCTTGTTTAACTTCTATAGATAAAAATCAAATCTTAGAGTTTGTTATCAAACATACTAGATATGGAAAAGTAAATTTATGGAAGGATATCAATTCACGAATATTAGCACATATCATTACTACGTTTTCCAATTTACAATATTTAAATTTTTGTGCATCTTCAATTTCGAGTGAACAATTATCATTTGTAAATCCTTATCCAGGTATAAACTCTTCAACTCTCTCAGAATTGCATATCCGTTTGATATCCTTCTCCGACTGTCTTTATATACTTGATGGACGTTTCAATAATCTTCACACATTTGATGTTGATATTTTGTCTATTAGTGCTTCGGATTTAAGAGACAATAATCAGGTAGGTTATTTTGGTTAATATTTAATTTTTTCGAACAAATTCATTATATGATTTTTCTAGGAAAAATTACCTATACCTAATATAAGATGTTTTTCACTATACTGTGAACCGATGATAGATGTTTATAATGAATTAATTGTACCACATCTACAACGAATGTCGAATTTAGAAAAATTCTCTTTGAATCTTGCTATTTGTGGCAAAAATACATTTGTTGATGGTAATGAATTGAAGCAGAAAATAATTAACTATATGCCACAATTAAAGAGATTTGAATTTTATATTTGCTCACATCTTTATCTTTCTAATCAAATTAATCTACCATCAAAAGAAGATATTCAACATACATTCAGAGATTTTAAAGATGATCAAATTATTTCTTATATTGATTATTTCCAAAAGGAACAATATAGTTTATGTCATATCTATTCATATTCGTTCAAATTAAAATATTACTATACTATAACAAATAATTTTCCAGGTGGATTATTTAAATATGTTCATGAACTATTATTTTATGATGAGCGTCCTTTTGAACATGAATTTTTTCTTCAAATTGCTCAATCGTTTCCATTTATTAAAAATTTGTCTATAAAAAATTCGAAACCACAAAATAACAAATTATGTAAAGAATCAAAGAATGACAATCAAGATTTTTCGATCATTAAATTTCCTCATCTTATTAATCTTACTCTTAATCTAGCTCATGATGATTATATTGAAGAATTTCTATTTGATACGAGAACATGTTTACCGAATAATATTGTTCATCTTAACATTTTTTACCATCAATTAAAAAGAGTGACACATCATTTTACAAGAGATACAACACGAATCAATTGTGCAAAACTGAATTCTTTATGTCTTGGTGGCCGTCGACTTCCGAAATATGCAAAAGACTATTTTCCACATGTATAAATATTGATTACTATTAATACTTATGTAAAATGAAACTATTGAAAATAGACACAAAAGTTATTTTATATATAATTGAAAAGAGCTACATCTATGTATCTACAAGAAGAATTATACACATGATAACCCTCTACTAATAAAAAACATAGTTATTTTATAGATAAAAAAATTCAGAATAACAGCTCAAAGTCGAGTTATTTGATACCATATAAACATGAAATACATCTTTTAGAATTGAAAATAAATAAAAAGCCGCAGAGCTGGAATCGGTCCTGCCGGACCGGACTACAATTTCACCGGTTGAAAGTTTTGAAAAATCTTCTTTGTTAACCATGTTTTTGATCGTAAAAATTAAGGTGTGACATGCTTTTCTGTAAGAATACGTACAGAAGTGCCGAAAACACATGTTATTTTCATTATTTATTCTGAGATTCTCTGTAAAAATATTCATTATGATGAGTGTCTTTTACAGACGCTAGACGCTCTTGAACTATTTCATATTTCGAGCCATTTTTTTCTAAGAATCGTTTTTTCAAAAAAATTTCTTCATTTTTCACCGGTTGGACATGTGATTCCAACCGATCGGTTTGCAATTTCCGAACCGGTTCCGGATTTGGAAAGCTGAGAATTGTAAAACAAAAAGCTGTTAACATAATCTATATTGGATTCATATCTTGAACAAGAAATATTTGTTTTATTAAGAGATTAAGGTATTACATAAACCAACTTTTTTAATTCTCTGCATAAATTTCTAGTGTTTCATTTTAATAATTAGGAAAACGATACAGTAGAGTTCGCTTTTGCCGTTACATCTGTGACTATCTGTAAGGAAATTGGGTAAAATCATTTTAGCTAAGAGTAAGTCTCTGAGAAAGTTAGTTATCAATGATAGTGAGATATAGGTGTTTTCAAAAGGACTTCGATAATTTTTCATACAAGTAGTTCTTTAATCATGTATCTAAAACAAAACTAACTGCAGTTCTTTATGGTCATTACATAGCTTAGCTATCGAAGATTCATCCGTGAAAAAAAAAAGAAGTTTGTAGTTGCTTCGATCGTTAATAAAATGACCCCCAGAAATCTTACTTTTTTTTACAATTTTTTTTTCAAACACCTCTACGTCAGATTTCGCTGGTTTTTTTATATGTTATAGATAGTAGTGAGCTTAGTATTGCCTGCAGTTTTCAGTCCAATCGAATTACCTTTTTCTCTACAAATAATCAAAATGCTACTAAAATTTTCGATATTTGTCAATAGAAGTTGTTTCTAGTTTTCTACTGTTTTTCATGTGATTTCCTTGAATGGAGGTGACTCTTACATTTCAACCTCTTCAGAAGTTTTGGTCAACCTATAGTAAATTCGAAAATACCATCAAAAATATCGATTTTGCTCTTTTTTCTGTCTTTTTCTACCAAAATGTCGGTCAGTCATATTTTATGCGGCAACAAGCAATTGCTCTGATATTTCTGCTGCTGGTAGAGAACATCAAGGCCTATCACCAAGGATACCACATAAATTTTGCTCTTTAGAAAAGTGAAGCACTTTTCGCTAAATCTTAGTCTGTCTCTCATATAAGTTAAAATAACCTAGGATATCTTAGGTTAGGATTTGACTATTTCATGTCGCCATTCGTGACACGCCTCATTCCAACTGAGATCATGCTGGTTCCAAGTAGAACTCGATGAGCTCTATCCAACGCACTAGTTGTTTTCCGAAAAAAAAACAATCCTTTATGGTCAAAACCCTTTTTTTTTCGCAAAAAAAAAACAAGAAAAAACAACACCATGACACCAAAACCACTCGCGATTCGCCCAGACACCGATTCCAACAAAACCAACACTGATTCCAGCTAGATCTCGATGAGCTCTATCCAATTGACACCTTTTGAGATGAAATCGATGCACCCATCACTGAGAAATCGGCCCACAAGGCCCGAAACACTGCTTTTTCCGGAAAACCTCTCGCGATTCGCCCACTGACCAATTCCAAGAAAACCAACACTGGTTCCAAGTAGATCTCGATGAGCTCTATCGAATTGACACCTTTTGAGCTTAAATCGATGAATCCATCGCTGACAAATCAGCCAACAAGGCGTTGAATGAGAGTTTTTTTTCCTGGAAACCTATCACGATTCGTCCAGGGGACGATTTCAACAAAACCTACACTGATTCCTAGTAGGACTCACCGAGCTCTTTCAATTGCATACGGTGTTCGCTCGATATTGGTAAAGGCGTAATGAGAAAGTTGCTGACTTACGTGTGACTCAGAAAATTTTATAATCGTTTTGTCATGATTTGAAGAGAGTGGGCGCTAGTGTTCAATGTAATAGTAGTATCCTATTGCAGTGATAGTCACACATATGAGGAAGAAAAAAAAAATTTTATTGGAGCATATGTTTCCATATATTACAAGGAGACAGCGAAAGAGTATTGTTCCTAACGCTATCGTTGTGATTGTATTGTTATCAGTCATATAGATGAAGATGCAAAGCAAAGGAAAGAAATTTGATTGGCTGTTTCATCGCCATCAATCGCCGATTTCTAAGCGATAGGTGCATCAATTTGAGCTCAAAAGGTGTCCATTCGATAGAACTCATCGAGATCAACTTGGAACCACTGTCGGTTTTGTTGGAATCGATCTCTGAGCGAATCGCGAGAGGAAATAGTTGAATCCTGACCTAGGATATCCAACGTTCTTGTTTAATAATTTTAACTGGATCTTGACCATTTGTACCAACTAATTCAGGCCATTGAGTTTTTTTAACAATCGGTATTGTATCTAAAATTATCAAGAAAAATTTAATAAAAATAAATTGTTTTTTTCGCTAGCTTTTAACAAGTATAACAGGTAGATCAATAAATTTTGTTCGATCAAGACCAATTGGATTTATTCTAATATGAACATCATTTATATGTAATAATTCATTATTTTTATTTCTTATATTGACATGTTATGAATAAAAACTTCCATCAATAATTTGTTTTGGTCAATATCTTATTGGAAATGCCATTGAAATCGAATAGGTTTACCTATATATCGTGCAATAACTCTTGCTGGAGCATCAGCAAGTGTTCTATATTGTAATTCAACTGTTAATATTCCATCAGGTTCAATTGGTATACGTGAATCACTAGGAAAAACAACTCGACCACGTAAAGTAAGTTTTTATTCTTTCTTTGCAAGAATTATTTCGTCTTAAAGATTAATAAAAGTTAAAATATATCAAAAACATGTGGAATTTTATATAGACTTACCACTTGAAGAAATGACGTAAATAGCACCAATAACAATAAGTTATATATTCATGATTTAATCTAGAAATATATCATTTATAACTTAACTTACTTTTCTAAGAACAATTATGTCAGTTGAAGATATCTATACGCCTGTATTTATTTTATATAGAAACAAAAAAAAACGAATAATTCCTACGCTACAGACAATATATATAGATAGATGACATATAATCATGGTGATATGTTGAGAGTAACAGAATAACTTATTTTGTTTTTGCATAAAGTATAACGGCTTCTTCTTTATAGTTAAAAGTAACTAGTTGTGGAAAATAAACGATAAGAGATAGATATGTAGAGCATGAGAAATAATTGCAATTGCAAAATGATGACGGATATGTGTTGTTCTGTCGTCTACATTATCGCAAAAGAAATATATCACTGCCTTTTTTATTTACGTTCTTCCGAATAGATGTGCAGCGATTACTAGGAAACAAATAAATAAATTAATCATTCGATAGAGTTTGTTAAAAGTATTAGTGTACGTTGAAAATATTCAAGATAATGTTATCTAGGAACGTGAGAATGAAAGAGGTATTTCGTTGTCATATAATAATTCAAGCATAATCTGATGGTCATGTTCAACAGCAGTGTGACAATCTCCATCGAATAGAACATTCGAATGGAAAACATTAATTGAAACATTTATTGATAATATGAACAGTACGAAATCTAATGATCTAATTCAATCAATTTAACGATGGTTTTTTATAAAATCAAATAAAAAATCAAATGAAAATTTTTCCTTTTTCGTACGTGTGTGTTTTTCTGGGGAAGATCTGTTGAGTCGACTAGATACAATAAATGAACAGTTTTTAAATAGATTTGTTATTCTAGCAAGACATTATCTTGTTCGAGGATTAGCACGAGGTTTGATAAACATATTCAAAAAACAAATCCTTTTTTTCACTCAGTTCGATTTTTTAGTTGAACGTTTTTTATTATACCGATGTGATAAATGTAGGAAACGTTATTATTAAAATATGTTTTAGAAAATGGTTTACCAAAAACAAATCATACAAATCGAGTAAATATCAAGCTGATTTTTTTCTTTTTTGTGTACTTAAAAAGTGAGTACACTCTAGAATCGGTCAGTATGTCCGGCCGTCCGTCCGGCCGGCCGTTTACACGATAACTTTCGAAAGGAGAGTCCGATCACGATGAAATTTTCTACACAGTTCAGTCTTTACAATATCTCGGTCGAGTTCGAAGATGAGAAGGATCGGCCGAGCCGTTCCTGAGTTATTGCAAAAATACCGATTTTTCCCTATAGCTTCCTATGGAAAAATCGACCCATCGCTGCTTTCGTAAAAGACTTTNCGGTTTTCAGCGGTGTGTTGATATCACGATAGTCAGACCATCTATGCGTTTCTTTGAAACCGCGGTTTCTTAATATAACGGTAGTCAGACCATTTATGCGTTTCTTTAAAACCGCTCGAAACCTCGGTCTGGAAAACCGCGGTTTCAGGCGGTTTTTTATTATAACGGTAGTCAGACCATCTATGCGTTTCTTTGAAACCGCTCAAAACCGCGGTCTCAAAAACTGCGGTTTTGAGTGGTTTTAAAGAAACGCATAAATGGTCTGACTCCCGGCATCTGAAAATATCGGCCAAAACCGCGGTTTTTAATACCGTTGCCTACCGCGGTTTTTTTGAAAATTTTTTTCCGTGGGTAGTTGTGACCTAACCAATCTTTTTATAAATTTTTGAAAAGCTTTATGCTTTCAGCATGATTTATAATAAATTATTAAAAACTCTCTGTGAAAAGAAATGTTAAATTGATATTGAAATGTTAGGCACATTTTAGTTATAATTTTTACGGTTTTTTTAGCCAATAGGATAGTTTTATATTTTAAAAGAAATATACTTTAACATTTCACACAAATTTAATTAATAGTTTATTTATTTTAACTTTTTTAAATAGTAATATGTTGAATAGAACTTATTTTTAAAGAGACATTGTTGTTTTGATTTTCTCGTGTTGAGGATTATACAGTAGTTTGCTTGTTGCCAGCTTTTGCAAGAGTTCGTACCTTTTGAATATCTGTTGCATCAACTTCAGGTTTATTTGCTTGTAATAAAGCAGCTGATCCTTCTGGACTATCCAAGCCATGCTGCTGATTCAAACCGTCATTTATATAAGCTTTCATTTGATATTCAGATAATTGCATCATGAGAATCATTTAAAATGAATAATAAGGTTCGTTGAAATGAAAATTGGCGCGATCAAATCATAAATGATTTAAATCAAAATGTATTTTTGCTTATTTTGTCATATACTCAGAAAATATTAATAAATTCACATAGTTTTGCTTTCTCAAAAGTTTTTATTAAACAATTAAACAATACTAATTAGTATACATGCACAACATACATATTCAAATAATATCAACTAATTTGTGATTCCCATAGAAAGATTGTTTAGTCTGTAGAATAGTTATTGATGTTTGCTTATTGTTTGCTGTATGTGATGTCGATAATTACTGATTTCTATGGATTAATAATTTGTGAAGATCTATTACCCATGTAAAAATAAATCAAGAAAAAACGGGATTTTAATCGATTTTTTTGTGATTAAAAATCGTTTAAAATGAGACGATTTTAATCAGATTCCTTGATTTTCAATCAATTTTAATCGATTTTAATCAGATCTCTTGCCTTTTATTCGATTATTTTTGATTTTAATCAGTTTTAATCGATTATAATTGATTATTCTTGTTTTAAAGGATTTTAATTGATCATTTAATTTTTAATCACGATAGCCAAAGAATGCGTAAGCACAGATCGTTGTCATCTCGCGAATTCAGGGATGTCTGACCGAGATTGGTTTGATGCTGTACCTACTATTTGTCAACGCGAGGAGTCAGAAAAAGCAATAAAAAGCTATGATTTCTGGGTTAGAACTCGAGAAAAACGCAGTTTTTCGTTAACGCGATTAAAACTGATTAAAAATCAAGGAGTCTGATTAAAATCGTCTCATTTTAATCGATTTTTAATCACAAAAAAATCGATTAAAATCCCGTTTTTTCTTGATTTATTTTTACATGGGTACTAGAAGCTAAATCTATTCTTTATGAAAAGATTTTTTGAAGATTTCCGTTACTTGTTTTCATGTTGTTTTTTTGTCAATTTGACATGAAGTTTATATATTCATGATCATTATGACTTTCTTGAATGGCTATATTAAAACATATCATTCAAAGTCCAACAATACTATTTTCCATAGATACGAGACACTATCTATGAAAATAAAACAGCTTATTTTATTGACGTAGAATGTCAATGAACGACATCTATATAACCATTAAGAGAATCGTCGTTTGTTAAATTATCAATAAATAAAAGAAAAAATTATTAACTAAGCAAAATAGTATTCTGTCACATAAGATTAAAATTTTATCATATAATCACAATATATTTTACAGAAAATTATACAATGTCTTTTTTCGCTCGACATAATATTTTCGTTGCTATTATATTCGGTTGTTTCGCTGTTCTTATACCACGAATTTTTTTACCATTATTTCGCTCAAGATCATTGTCACCACCGGTCCATATCGATGATCGTAAGTACCTTTTCTAATTACAATAAATTGAATCATTTATCTATTTCAGGTTTTCAACGAGTATCATCGCCGATGTCTCCTAATGATAACGATGAGGTAGTTAAGCGTAATTCCATCTTAAATGAGTTTTACATACAACATAACTTTTAATTTTTGAATTTATTTTAGGATTCTTCGCCGCATATACATGATACATATTCGAATATGCGAATACCTAAATCTGGTGCTAATAGTCAACAACAATCATTAATCGATCCAAATAATTCAAAAACAGCTGTGACTTTTGCTTTGCCAATGTATACTATTGGTATAGCGATTTTTTTAATTTATACATGTTGCAAAGTATGTTAAAATCATATGATATTATTTATTAAATAATATCTATATTTATTTTAGTATTGGGCGAAACGTAATAGTCAAGAAAATAAAATAAAACTTCAATATTCAACTAATAACATTCAATGGAATAGTGAAAAAAGAAAATTCAAATATCAAACTAATAATTATCATAGTGAAGACGATGAAGAAAATGAAGATTTATATGCTGGTATTGTTTTTTTTGTTATTATACATTTTGTTTTTGTTTATTGTAAAAGAAATTACTTTACTTTCTAGGATTAGATCCTGATTATGTTGAATATTTAAAATCGAGAAGACAAAAAGATTTCGAAGCTGAACAAAATGCTTCAGCTGAACAAAGACAAAGTTTGTTTTCATGATATTTCATTTGTTTTTTCGATGAATAAAATTCGCTTTTTGTTTAGTGGATCATGCTCTTGATGAAATGAAAAGTTCATTATCATTTATTAGTTCAAAACTTGGAACAACTCAAAAAAGAAATAATTTAACTCAATATGAAATATCGCAATTACAAGATCGGTTAGCGTCAACTGAAGCTCAAATGTATAAAATTTTAAATACAATTAATACTGTTACAAATAAAGTAAATGAATTAACCAAAAATACACGACAATCTCTTGAACAATCAGAAGAGGTCAATTTGAAAAACAGAAGGAAAATCTCTTTTTCATTATATATATATTTTTGTATTTAATAATAGAATTTTAATAATGAAGAAGATAATCGTTTATCATTACGGTCAGATAATGACAGTGAAGATAGTATAAATGATGAAGAAAATTCAAATAGTGATGATAATTCATTGCATCAACAAGAACAAATATCGTCAAATAATCAAGATGACACTTCATCATCATCATCATATGAAGATGATCAAGAAAATTCTAAGGAAGCAGAAGAAGAAGATGATGATGAATCTGAATCATCATCTGAACGTTATGGTATAATGAATACTAATTATGGATCTGATCCAAATACAATTGATGATTATGAATTAAATACAAATACAAGAACAAATCAAACAACTGACAGTCAAACAAAAGTACACGAATGGCATGAACGTAATCATTCTCAATCATTAAGTAGTAGTAATTCATCAATAGAACAAGACCAGTCGATACCAAATGATGAACAAAATCATTTAACAAGACGACAATCCCAAAAATAAACATTTTTATGCTTTTTTTGCAATTTAACATAAGGTGCCGCAAGTTTTTTTGGCATGATTGGATAAGACTAGTCGAGTTGTCCTATAAAAATCTTGTTTTTGACATATTCAAATGATAAGTGAAAATAAGAGTTAAAAAAATTAAAATATGCCGAAAGCATCAAGTCTCTTGATGGAACGATCCCAAGTAACACTCACCGTTTGAGCTCATATTGGATCCTCAGACAGGTTTCAGAGAGAATAACAAATGCGTGAAAGTGTGCATCCCATTGACCTTTGTCCCCGAGTTATGACCGGTCTACTGAAGTTTGGACCCATTTTTAGCTATTTCTCGGGAGATCGAGTAATGAAATCTTCGTATTGAATTTTCAAGTGAATTCGATTTTTGGAAATTCAATATCTTGACAAAGAAACATTATTTTCGGCTGAAACTTTCAGGATATTCTAAGAGTCATTAGATTTGCTTATTGATAAAATTTTGAATCAAAATTCCATTATTCAGTCTTCCGGAGAATTCCTAAAACGGGACAAATACACTTATCGCCCCCCCCCCCCTCCTCTATTCGCCGCATTAGACCAGGGAGGCCACGGCGGGCCGATCTAACGGAGTCCCACAGGNCGGGAAAAACCAAAATGAAGAATTTCGACCTAAAATTTTACCTATAGATAGATTTAATAGTCATTAGATAGTCCTGAAAGTTTCAACGACAACGAACATGTCTTTCTCGAGATATTCAATGTTCAACTAAACTGGATTATTGTGCCCTCCTATGGTAAACAGCTAGGTTTTTGAAAATTGAATAACTTGAGAAAGGCATGTTCGTTTTCGTTGAAACTTTCAGAACTATCTAATGACTATTAAATCTATCTATAGGTAAAATTCCAGGTCGAAATTCTTCATTTTGGTTTTTCCCTAAATGCCTGGCTCACAGTAAAAATTTCAGTAAAACGGTCATAACTCTTCACCAGTAGACCATGGGCACGAATTCTTTTAGGCTTTTTCTTATCTCAATATACTGTTTCGAATGAGATGTGAATGAGTCAAAACGCAGCGGATCACTTGGGAATGTTCCCTCGTTAGACTGATTTCTTGAACAGCAATTTAAAGCAAGTTGTAAGTAAACGATCGAAATAGTTGCTGATCGATTTTGAAAACTAACACTTCTCAATTTATATTATTACTAGTAAAGAAAAAAATATGGTGGTTGGTAAGATGTTATGTGAAATATTAACTTATCTACTCAAACCTCACATAGACGATGTATTGTGGAGAATTAAGACTAATGAAATAATGTGTAGAATGATTAGAAATATGGATCTTATTTGTAGCTACTTGAAAAATATACAAACTTCCGATAGCGAAGAGTTGCCCAAGCAAATTTTGAAAAGCATATGTGTGACGAGCGATCCGAAGTTTGAAATGTTTTAGTTGTTCCTTGTTCCGCTCCACTGTCGAGCTCATTGACAACCATTGGATTCTGAACAGTCGAAAGTTGTAGTCTCTCGGGTACTCATTTTCGACTCGTTAGCACTCATTTAAGCTCCGAAGATTTTGCGACCGCAAAAACTATTGAAAGAATGCTACCGATTCTTCGGGTACATTTCAACCACTCGTAATTTATCAAAATTCCAACTACTCCAAGACCAAAAAAAAGAACATATCAGAAGGATACTTTCGATTGTCCCAGAAGCATTACGCCTAACACAATAACTGTTTTACTTATGAGTTGAGTCCGTCGAATCTTAAAATTTTGCATCTAAATGGCCTTAACACTGATTCTAATTATGATGACGTGAAACTTCTTCAAAAAATAATTTTTGGCTTTATTCTAGCTAAGTTTCACAAAATTTCTAAGCAATATTTAACATCAACGGATGAGAGCTAAGACTAAAGCCCGTCTCAAACGTCAAACTACTTTTAATTTATAAAAAATGACCTTTACAGAAAAATAATAGTTTATATTTAGTTCAGATGTTTAACGAAATTGTAAGTACCCATGTTTGATTTCCCCCTTCCGTCTATATTCGACAGATTTCAACCATTCGGAAATAATCGTTTGTGTGGTCGGAAACTGTACATCAAAATGATCAAATGTCCACCTTTGATTTATCAGAAATTGAAACAGACGCGTTGAAATGTCTATCGAATGGTCAGATGGGGTGTATGCCGTGCTTTCAAGAAAAGAAAAGCAAATAAAATCTAGTTTACTCATGATCTGTATATCAATACATTTAGTTTTATAATAACTAGGTTACGTAACTAAGCATTGTTATTGCATTTAATTCGAAGAATGAATAAATATTAAAAGATAAATATTTACCAGTAAAAGATCTTTGCCTTTATTATTCAGTTTAGGAACAAAATGAATAAGTGATAGTGTTGGTTGATAAATTGAAAATGGTTTATATTCAGGAAGACTTGAAACACCCGGCCAAGTTTCTTCAGTTGGTGTTCCAATTACTCTGAAAATATAATTCTTAAAAAGAATAAATATAAAATCATTTTATTTACTTGAATATTCTTCTTAACTGATCGTCAACACTTTCTCCCGGAAATAAAGGTTTTCCACCGTTTGCTAATTCAGCAAATATACATCCAGCAGACCCTTGAAAAAGAATTAAAAATTCTTATAAAAATTATTCGAATTATCATTTAACATTTACATATATCAATTGAAGTTGTATAAATTTTTGCACCAAATAAAACATCTGGTGGACGATACCAAAGAGTAACAACTTCTGATGAATAACATTTAACAGGAATACCATAAGCTCTTGCTAAACCAAAATCAGCTAATTTTAATTCTCCATTCTTTAATAAGAAAATTTTTTATATTTATTAATAAAACATTCAAATAAATTTTATAACCTTTGTCAATAATAAATTTTGTGGTTTAAGATCACGATGAAGTACACTATGTTCATGACAATATGATAAACCTTGTAATAATTGCCAAAAAAATGATTGTACTGTTGTTGAATCAATGTCTCCATTACATGAGTCAAAATATTTTTTTAAATCTTGATCACAATATTCAAATATAAGGTTTAAAGTTTTCTCAGTATGAATAACATCTAATAATCTAAAAAATTCAAATGAATATATTTAACTATTTAAAACAATTCTACCTTCGACAAAATCTCAGTTTTGCTTTATTAGTAAAACTTAATCAACAGGATATGCTTCATTCTCTACTAAATTTATTTTTAATTTTGACTGCATAACCGTACGGCATAGCTTTCGTTTGAAAGTCTTTATTCTCCAAAATTTAATTTACAATAGAGATTACTTCTTCAAGAGTCAGCTTTTTCGGCTGACTTTGATGTTCTTTTTTCTTTATTCTTATTTTAATTTTTAATGAGTACGATCTTAATTTCTATGCTGATGATATTGCAGAAGTTAGTGTCACCTTTCGAGAATGTCTTAATTAGCTTAAGCAAAAAGCTTAACTATTGCTTTATTCTCTTTCAGTCTACTGCAGAACGTAGTCTGTTCACCTAAACCCTACAAAAACAGTTTACGAGCTTTCGACATCTCAAATCATCATCCTCGATCTAACACTTTTATGAAGAATTTCATTTCATATGTGTTAAACATTTTCGATATCTTCTCATGTTGTGGAATCCACAGTTCATCTGCGTAAGTTTTTTTAAAATATCACTGCATGAATATTTTTAAATTCTTAGAAAAATGTTAGATTTGAGTGAAAATCGTGTTTCTCCAATGATTGTGATCGTGCTCAAATCATATGTACCAGATGCATCGACTGTTTTCGAGTTTTATTAATTTTTAAAGATAGTATCACAAAAAGAAACAATAGTTAGAAGACTTAATCAATAGAAAAAATTGTGCTACCATCTAGTAAAATGTACTATGGCATATTAAAATTGACTTTTTTGAGTGGTGATCGACCTCTTCAAAACACAAAATATTAATTTACTAGAAAAATTATAGAAAACTTGAGATAAAAAAGGAGTAAACCACTCGAATCGACACTTTCGATGAAAAATTGACGACATTGCTTGCATATGAAATTAATATCCGAACTTCTTATGGAACTTTTATTAATTATATTTTGAACAACATTCGATCTTGAATACTCATGCTTACAATCTTATGTAAACATGAACGGAAAACTTCTGCTCAATTACGTCAACAAATTTTTTATAGTTTGGGGTTTTTCTTTTTATGTTCGAGCCTTTCTCGCTTTTTTTTACATTTAACTACTTCCTAACAGGAAACTCTTTATAAAGCTTTTTGCTATAATTTAAAACTTTCATATGGTTTAACTAATTGATCCAATCGTTTCTTTTTTCTGTTATAAGTATGCATATTTTACTTGGTCATTTATATTTTTACTGAAGAAGTTTTTATGCCAGGTGCAAATACGTTTAGTTTAGCTCATCAATTGACTGTTTATCGGTTTCTTAGAAGCCATATGCATGTGACAATTCTTAAGATGGTGAGTATCCATATGAATTCATGTCAGATTAAATCGTTTAGTGAACGATATTTTCATGTTTTTGACTTTTGGTTTCCTTTTTCAATTATTTTATTGTTCTTTATTTGCTTTCAATGTTGGCAACAGAAACCATCTTATCTATGCCTTTATACTGTTTTTCATGTATTCACTTTCTTCTGCTAATTCTATGTGACGTGCTTTTTCTTTTTTATCACTTCACTGAGTAGCCTTGAGACACAATATAATTAAAGTATATAATAATAAAAACACAATAAATTATTTTATCGATTTACCTGACAATATTTGGATGACGTAATTCTTTTAAAAGGCAAATTTCACGTAATGCTGAACTCGGTACACCCTAAAAAAAAAGTAATATTTTAAATTTTTTCTATGATTAATCATACATCATCTTCATCATCAAGTCGAACTTTTTTTAAAGCTACAATTTCTTGTGTTAGTAAACTACGAGCTTTATAGACGGTACCATAAGTGCCTATAAAACAAAAAAAAAAGTATTTCTTAATAGTAAAAAGTCAATTTCTTTTTTATTTTTTACCTTCTCCAATACGTTCGATTTTCTCATATTTATCAGCTCTAGACATCTAAAATAAGATAAAGAATAAGCAAAAGTAATTGAAAATTTAATGAATAATAAGATTAATTTTCGAGTATAGAAATAAATTCAGTCATGTCAAAAACGTTCGATGCAGGAACAAAGTCAAATAAGTCATTTATTGGTTTTATCTTTTCATTTTGATCATATTGTGTAACTAAACTATCAATATCGACTGTTTGTGTTAAATTAGCTAAATGATTCATTGCAAGTAGAAATGATGTTGATAATTTATCAGTTATTGTTTCAATATTTAATTGACGACATAAATCTTGTTCAGATGAACTTAATTGTTTAAGTAGAAGACTTTCAGAAGTAATTCGTGCTTTTTCACGTACTAATTCAGTTTTAGCTAATGCACTCATTAACGTTTCACGTGCTTTATTCAATAGTGCATTTCGTTGGCGTTCTGTTTCAATCCTAACTAATGAAGAATTTTCTTGACTTTCAGCTATTTCAGTATAAATTGGTTTAAGCATTAATTTATAAAGACGTTTTATTATTTGTTGTGGTAATGCAACTTTAAATATATATACAGCATCAATATCAACAAAATAACCATGTGAACATGTAGTTGATGTCTGATTACAATGAATTAATCTTGTACATGAAGGTTCAATTGTTTTCGAACATGTTTGATGTTGACAACATATTGGACAACAATCACCTGATAATGCTTGTTGTAATGTACGTGATAAACGATATTCAACATGTTCTCGGCGTGCACGATAATCATAAATAGAAAACTGATTCCCGTAATTACGAAAAATATTTCCAGCAACAAGACGAAGAACATGTTCATGCTCATTAGCAAAATTTAACCATATTGGTTCAATTTGATCGGGTCTAAATATTAAAAAAGTCATTAGTCTAATTCCAGCCGAATTAAAATGTGAAAAACTATTTAGCTACTGTTGCTAATCACTGAAAGATGGTTTTTATTCTATCTATTTTGGGACACATTTCTTCGCCATCTTTTTACTAAATCCTCCAGAAATGCAATAAGGAAGTAGTTTAACGACACGTTATAGATATATGGTCTATGATCGTATATCAACGATGCCTGCCACGTCTGTGGAGGGGACGTGGGTTTAAATTTCTACCTCTATATTTCAATACTCCTTTTAGATCATGTTTCACAAAAAAGGAAATATTAAGATGACGTATTCTGTGGTATCGTAGTCTAAATAGGAAGTCACAATATTAGGATAATTCCAAAAGAATTTTTTAACTAACGGAACCTAAGAATCTAAATTGTATTATAGTTTTATGATAATTAGTTATTTTCGAAATCAAATAAAAAAATAATTTGAAATTTTGTTCATGAAGAAGTCTTCAAATTGCACATCTATTGTACTTTTATATTTCAACACGTATATTTAGAATAACTCTGGTTCCTATGAATTGATCTGGATGATTTTTTTTCTTCATGCAGCCCGCATGACACGTCAAACTTGCTGAAACAAAATTAGTCTTCTATAACATTTTTTTTGGTAGTTGTAAGACTTGAAAGGTTTAAAACAACGCTGTTACTTGGTTATGGATCCAATAAAGTTTTTTAAACTTTTAGTGATATTTATGAAGAAAAAGATTTAGAATATGCAAATATGAGATTCAAATCTAAAGCATAGTCTCACAACATGCCATTGTTACAGACACTTTCAATCAATCATGTTCTGTTATAATATCTATCATCTTTCTTTCAAGCGTAAAACAACATAAAAATTCTTTTTTTTTTATTAAATAATAGAATGCAGTTTAGCATAGGTTTTAATCAAAGTAAAAACAGAATCTAACTATAATAAATCTTTTAGAAAAAAACGTGAGCAAATCTTTATTTACACAATTCCGTCCTACTACATGGACAAAATTCTTAAGTATATATTTCAAAGAGAGGTTGTTCGTTCTACTTCAAAAACGTTGTGGTTTTCTTCCCTAAGTATCACTTAGCTGTGGTCAAAAAATGGGCTTAATCGAATGTATCGTTCGAAAGAAAATCGCAAAATATATACGAAATGTCTGACAATATACAATAGAGAATATTTTCATTCTACAAGACTAGAATTATGTGCATGCTAAAGATTGGATTTTACGAGATACGAGGTGTGACCATGGCTAGCTTTGAAAGCTAGATGTCGATTAGGGTAAAGAACATTTCTTACAAAATCGTTTTAATGAATATCAGCGTTTTTAGTATATCTTTCAAAGATTTTGTCACGTATTTCTTATTTAAATGACTTAGATTACATAACCTTTTCTAGATAACTATATTCAGTTTTATTCAACGTTTTGCCACTCAAGAATAGCTTTTCATTATTAAGGTTGATAAAATAAAACGTAAACGACAGTGAAACACAGCTTTCAAAAGACCAATCTTTTTTCTTTATAGACCAACAAATTAATCTTTCATACATTCGGAACTTTATAGCTTTTAAAAAGTCTCTTCAACTGACGCTTCATTGGATCTGTAAACTAATTATATGATCACGCATATTTCAAAAAGACAAATTAAGATTTTTCTTCAATGTATATATTAGGACAACAACTCTTTTCAAACTGTTGCTTATCTTCAATTTTTCTGCGATGAGTGTAGACACATTTTCTTTCAACAGTACCATAATATTGCAACTCCCGTACATTCGTTTTATGCGAAATTTTCAGACTATTCTAATATTCTTGCAGTTTCTTCATAAATATTATTTCATATAGGATGTTGCTGATTTGATTTTGCAACTAAACCTTTGCTACAAAATTCGAATACAATAAAACAATTCTTTACAAATATTCCAAAAATAAACTCAAAAACGAAGTACACTTAAAATGAATATTAATAGTTTTCTTAACACATCTAATAGAAATTTGTAAGTAGATAACAATTTTATTTTCACGAAGAAATAGTTTATTGTTACATTCAACGAACAGCTTCTCAAAAATCTACTGTATTTCTATCTCTATAAATACCCTAAAAACATTTTCTCAATTGCAGTTCTACAAAAACTATCATTTAGTTCGAAATTACGAAGTTTCAATCAATGAATGATTGATTGAAATAGAAAAAAAAAGACTTAGAACTGGTAACTATCATGAACAGATTTTGAAAACTTTTAATAGTTTATTTATTCAAAATACTATTATAAATTTTGAATATTTGTATACCTTATCCGATAGACAATTGTAGCATCTAATATAACACTAGCTTGATCAGTAGTAAAAATTGTCAGATCATGAAAGTTGAGATATCGAGCTGTTTTATCGAACTTAACCATTGTCTTCCACGGTAATATTAGATAAACTCCAGTTGAATATGGATGTTTTAAGTCCATAACACCTGTCCATAAATTATGTGTTACACCAAACTAGAAAAAAAAATCCATATAAAATTAAAAAAGAAAAACAAAATATTATAATTACTTCATCATAATCAACACTTGTATAACCAAGTACTACGAATATTATTACGAGAAGTATAATTGTAAGAAAAATAATAAAAGTTATTATTGGCAATCGCCTTGCATTAGGATTATCAGCAGGCATTAAACTACAAATGATAAATTTAACTAGCAAATATTTTTCAAACGAGAAAAAAACTCTACTCGGCCCAGAAGTCACGTGCCATTTGTTGTATACCACGATTTCGACGTGAAGGTGATCGATTCGATGAATTAGAACGACGATGACGTTGTCGAAGATCAGTTTCATTTTCTGTTGTTGGAAGAAAGTCAACAGTAGGTTGTTCAATGTCAAGATTATCCAAATTTAATGAAAATGGTGACGCTATACATGATTAATAATTATATCGAATATTATATCAAATTTTTCTTACTTTCATCAGGTTCTTCAATTCTAGGTGAAATTTCATTATTTGTAGGTAACAATGATTGATTCTAATTATTACAAAAGAATTCAATTAATAATAAGGAAGAATACTCCTGCCTCTCAGCTACCTTGTGGTAGGGAATTCTGCATAGTCACAGACTCAGCAGTCCAAAATCTTTTCTACAACTAATACTAGCTGTAGCAATGAACAAACGGCTAGTCTAATGCACAGTTCTCCTTACACACTAACTAGTCACAAGAGCAGGTGTATCTTACAACATAATGATTGATCAGAATAGTTATAAATAAGTTGTTTGTTCGTTTTGAACGAACTAGAAAGTATATCCGATGAGTCAAAAGCTATGAGTTAGAATCAGAATTTTGTATTCTTTTCGAATACGGACTTAGAAATTTTATCTTAGTTGTTGTTGGAGAGAATTGAGAGACTTTTTAAAACTATAAGTCCTTTTTTTCAAACATGTTAAAAATTGTTGAAATCATCCATTTTGTAGAGTGGACACTTCTCTACAAAATGTAATTTTAAGTTAAGCTGTAGCTTTTCTTCAAGTGAGACTACAAACACTTTTTCAAGAACTTTCAGCGTGAAATAGTTGACGATTTTTCAAAAATAAGTATTTAGGAAAAACGAAAATTTAAGTGCCTTGTCAAGAGGCAAGAAAAACCTCTAACTTGTTAGTTAACTTTTAATCTACAGGCTCATATATAAATAAAGATTTCAACTTTTAGTTTCGAATTGCAATAGTGAAAATATAAAAATTTTCTGTTCAAATTAATTTTTCGGCTTTTCAAGAACTATTTCATTACAGTTGCACAGAAACTGATACAGAGTTGCTAAGTTCATATTTAAAAAGAATATCCTAACTTATAGCTTATAGTTCGTCAGAAATACTTTCCAATCTTCCGTTAGTCAGTGTGATATCGGGCAGGTGTAGTCCGAGACAAATAGTCGTTAATGACTTATTCAGGATCATTCCATAATAAGTGATACTGGAATGTGCATACAGTATCATGTGGATACGTGGCAAACAACGCAACCATTTAGTCATGGCAATTTCAATGAAAAATAAACACAAATGATTATTCTTACCACTTCACGTAATTCAATTTCTTCGGGAGATGATAATGTTTCAACAAACTAAAATATTAAAAAAATAATATTATCGTTCTATGTATTATTATTATTTCAATTACATCTCTTGATGTTCGCGGTGATCTTTTCGGTGAACTCATTATAACTACTTATCTAATGTTCCATCTGAAAGAAAATCTTTTAAATTTAGATATCAAAGAAAAAAATCATAAGAAAATAAATGATTTATTGCCACGTTCACATAGTTTGATTGTAGAAAAAATAATAAATTACAAAAAAAAACAGGCATCTTAGATACACATATATAAAACAAAGGAAACATTTAACAAAAATCAAATTTGCGAATCATCGTCAACAGCTAAAAGAAAAAAAGATGGAATTTATATTTTAAGTATAAAATAATTTATCAAAAAATACATTAGCATTAACTATTCAATTAAAATAGCGTGATAAATATTGTTCTAAAAACAGCATTCTCTTAAAAAAGAACGTAAATCTTTTCGTCTAGTAAAATTCTATTCATACCTCATTAGAAACTTTTTGCTGTAAAACTTCAATTTGAATGATAACGATAACCTGGAAAGAATCAATAAACAAAAAACAATATGATTTTTATTTCTAAAGAAAAAGTGAATCTTATTCCATGTAAAGGGAAAGGAGAGCGTAACTATTTAATTACTAACACATCGAATTCTCTCGGGAAATTACATTCAACAAATATAAGCAATCAATTGAGGAAAGCAAATTATGAGCGACATACACTTGTTTTTATTCTCAATTTAAGCTTTTTCTGATAATCCAAAATTATTCGATATTTTCATTGCTATGACAACGAAGAATATGCCAATATATAAAATTATTTTTCAATTAATGTTAAATATACATACATTCAATCGTTTCTTCTGCTCGACGACGATCTTGTATAATAAACATTGCTGAAAAAAGAAAAGCTGCACCACCAAGTATAGCCACAAACGGTGTTAACATTAATGCATTGCGTAATGATACCCATTGAGTTAAATTATCGTCAGCACCTTTTCGAAAAAAATCACTAATTTCACCGATTATGTATGGACTAGATGCATCACCCTATGACACAAATACATATAGAAACAATGTTTTTTTGTTAATTATGAAAATCCTACCAATAAATGCATAACAAAAATTAGAATTGAACTAGCTGTAGAACGTCTTGTCGGAATGACAATATACTATCAAAGATAAAAATACTCATAACTAAATAAAAAAAAAAAAAAAGAAACTCAACCATAAGCATATCTGTAATCAGTGCCCAATTACTACAAAGTAATGTTTCAGCTATAAAAATGAAGATCCATGTTAAAACTATATAATCCTTAGATAATAGTAGCACACAAAATAAAAATGGTATTGCAAGAAGAACTGCAACACCACAGACAATTGGATCACCACGTGGATTTCGTTTACGATAACTAAAAAAGAAGAAAATTTTCTATTGATTTACTTTCTCATATAAATATACCGTCTAGCAATTTCACTTCCCAGTAGTACACCCAGAATACCAGCACCACATGTTACCAGACCAAAATAGAGTGATACACTGTTTAGTAAAAAAAAATGAAATCAACTTATATTATAAACACGAAAAAAAAATGATTTACTTGGTCTTATCTTTTGGGTCTTCACTTCCATTGGCTAGTATATGAGCTTTTTGAAGAAAAATAGGTCCCCACCAAGAAAGTGACCCTAATCCAAATGCTACCCATGTAAATCCAAGTGTTATTAAAAGAAAACTTTTACTAAATAATAAAAAAAAATTAAAATTTTTAATTTATAAAGCACATTCTAACAAACATTTTAACAACTTGTTGAACATCAAAAAACCAACTAGATGTTTTTTGCATATGAGCACCATCGATACCCCCTCGTACTGGTTCAGTCACAAGTACAATAAGTAGAATAACACATACGGCACCAAGAACAGGTGTAACCTAAAATATATACAAACAAAATAAGATTATTAAATAAAAATCAATACAATGACTTACTCGTAAAGCCCATCGCCAATCATTATTAAATGCTTTTGAAACATATGAACCAACGATATATCCAAGACCGCTAGAATAAACATTCTTTAAAATAATCTTCAACAAAAGAATTTGTCTTACCCGCCTAATGGTACAGCAATATTAAAAACAGCTAACATCCTTGTTCTCATATCATGCTTAAATATATCAGCAATAATTGTCGGTGCAACGCATGAATACGATGCTTCACCAACACCAACTAAACTACGTAATAATACAAACAGCCAAAATAACTAATACAAAAGAATAATATACTAAATTAATGTTATATGATATATAGGGTATAACAAAACCATAACGCTACTCTCTACAACTTGAAGTATAAATGATATCACAAAGTATTTTATATCAAATTAATGCTCGTTAGAAACTGGATTTATGACTGTAATTAGAGTAAATATTGCCTATGAAATGATTGAAATGCCTTGAATTACATCCCAAAATGCACTGGTACTGTACGATTTTCATTCTTCATGTATATATGTTCACAAAAAAAAATAAAACAGATTCGTAATCTCCACCAAAACTGAATCTATAGACATGACATTTTTTGTATTTTTTACGAAACAAAATCCTGAAAGGAGTACCCCAAACAAAACGTTTTTTGAACTGACTCAATGAGAAAAAGATTTGATCCTCTCAAAGCTGCTGAAGGAGGTCACACAAATTTCTGAAATTTTTTCATAAGCGCACATTTGTGAAAAGTTCATATTTCTAATAAATTGGAAACTCTATCATTTACAATTTAAGCTGGTGAGGGGACATAATAGTTCTTTTATAGACTCGATATTAGAAAATCCATGACATTTTTATGCGCAAACGGGCTCGTATATTGCACTTTTTTATTTTTTATAACATTTTTCAACAAAAATAATATCAAATTTGTGATCTCCATCAAAAACTGCGTTCATTAATATTTGAATCGAAATATTTCAGTTTAAAAAATTTTTTGTCTAGGATACCTTCCTGGATGTTTTTTCGTCAAAAATATAGAAATGTCATGTCTGTAGATTCAATTTTTGGTGGATATTACGAATCTGTTTTTTTTGTGAAAATATGTACACGAAGAATGAAAATCATAAAGTACGAGTGCATTTTCGGATGTAATTTAAGACATTTCAATAATTTCATAGGCAATAATTGCTCTAATTAAACTCATAAATCCAGTTTTTGACGAGCATCTATTTGGTATAAAATGTTTGTGATATTATTTATACTATAAGTTGTAGAGGGAGATGTAATGGTTTTGCTATACCCTGTATAAAAGCAATTTACATTTCGTGGTACAAATGATCCAGCTACAGTTGTGATTGACCAAAGAGTAACACCTAAGATAATCATTAATTTTCGACTATATCGATCTCTGCAAAATAAAATAGATTTAGTTATGTTTTTACGTTTTCTTCTATGTACCCTAAATAACCAAAAAGAGGTGCTAAAGCCATATAACTACAGACAAAAACTGTTTGAAGAAGACCAGCTTTAGCATCGTCAATATTAAAATAATCCTGAATTTGTTCAAGGACACCTAGAAGTTAAATCATAAGTTTATAATTTCATTTCTATTTTAGAAAAAAACAAACTACCTGCAATAGCAAATCGATCCATATAATTTAATAAATTGATAAGAAATAAAACGATCATTGTTATAACATTTTTATATGTTTTCCCTCGTGATGCTGAACGTGTAATAAGAACCTAAAGATAAAGTAAATTTGAAAAAATTTGAAAAAGAAGTCTCAATAAACCATACAGTGCTTTCAGTATCTGGACCAAGCATCGGTGTTAAATCAGAAACTTCGTCAGACATAATTGGTGAAATTAAATATTGTCAGTATTTATTATTAACGTCACTTCTGACAACGCAAATGAAAAAGAATTCAACTTTTTGTCAAAGAGCACTGTCATAGACACTCGTTTTTCTTTTCATTCATTCATAAATAAGTATTTTCATGTGGCAAATCACAAATCGAAGGCTATTTTTTTCAGTTATGTCAACTAGCGTCATCTGAATAATTCAGACAAATTATTTTTTTTTGACGAGTGAGGTTAAAATTACATTTAATGATTTAGAAAACAAGAAGATTGCTTGCTTTTGACGTACGACTCAATCAGTCGCTTCTAGATTGAATAAATCGATGTGTTTAAGGCGACCTCCCTCACCTTTTTCGGATGTTGAAACCAATTATTTTTATTTTTAGTGTTTCATCGCTAATATAACTAAGAATTGTTCTCTGTCAAATGGCACATAAATAAGAGCTCTTCTTTATTAATTAGTACTGTTAATTAAACTAAACTGTCGACATCCCTAATAGAAAAACTAGTGGTATGATTATTCTTTGTATGCAGATTTCTTCTAATGATAATGATTATTTCTCATTCCCAAGGTGCTGAGAGCATAGGTGGTCATGAACCTCTAACACTGCTGAATATGGCCCGCTTTTGATCACTTCCGTTGAAGAAAAAAAGTTCTGATACATGGAAGAAAATTTGTTTTACGTTTTTTTTTAAATCAATTTTTACACAAAAAAATATTCCAAGTCACCCCCACTTCTCCACATAGTATATTTAATCGAGCTGAAATTTATTTTACAGGTAATGAACACTGTTTGGAATGTCTACTTTTTTTGTTGTGAAAAATATTGCACTGCTGATGTTTGGCAGATTTTACAAAAAGACAAAAGATGTATTTTTGTAGGTACGCTCATTATTTGGATCTTTTTGTTCGAGTAGAATGAGGTAAAACAAAACCAAAATAAATAGGCATCCCAAATGATGTCTAGTATCTGTAACAAGAAATATCAGTTCTATTGGACGTATTGAGGCTGAAAAATCAGGACGTCTTTTAGCCCTTGCATTTCAGATATTTTCTAGAAGGAACTATTTGGAAATTAGGATTCTATGACAATTTTTGTTCTACTCATCGAGATCTATCTGCTTTGAAAGTTTTCTGAAGAGCCATTCTTCAAAAACTGGAAAAAAGGAATTTCCATAAGACTTTTCGTTACTGTCGAAAACCGATTTTAGATTTGATACATTCAAATTGCATGAAATTTTCAGAATGTATTAGAGATATAGTGTAGAGTTCAAGGTAAAATTTTCAGCCTTATATCATGATGTTTTCGGGAGATATACGACAAACAAGGATTGATAAACTCGCTCATTTGGCAACCCAAAATTATCTGTGGATCTTTATTCTATATACTTAATTATTTTTGTTTGAACAAGCATGGTAGAGTCTTATTGTTTTTAAATTCTTACTTTCTAAGCACAGAAAAGTTCAGTGTCTTGAAAAGCTCTCCAGAAATGATACCCCAATTATACAAGCACTCTTTTATATAATAGTAACAAAGTTTGACTTAAACAAGAGACTCCGTCTTGACATGTTCTTTCAAATAAAAAAAGAAGAATAGGTTACAAAGAAAATTCTTCGAGAACTCTGGATGTACAATCAAAACAACCTACACAGAGAAAGAAAAAAGACAATTTCCTGTTTTTTTCTGAAAGCAGCATATTATTCAAGCAGATGATTACGGAAATCATCAAAAATTTTTCTCAAAAAAGAAGTCACCACATAAAAAATCATGTCATTGACGAAGCATCACGCCTCAAGCGATTTTCTCATACATCAATCTTAATTTTCATAATTCTGACGAAAATTGACTATTTTTTTCAGGGGGTCGGAGCTCGAACTTTTCGTTTATAGATAATTGTTAAAAAAAACTTAACATTCTACCGGTTCCAAGTAAGAATGTACTCTACTAAATATGATGATTGAGTATGTTCAACAAATATCGTATTACTCATCCGAAATATGTATTTTAAAACACGTAAACTAAGAAGAAAAAGTTGAAGATGTACATCATTGAAAGTATTTTTTAAACAAAGAATAACGTCATTGAGAATAGCTGATACAAATCTATATTGATGATTATACATTTTAAAAGTAAGTATATTATGTACTGAATTATTCATTTAGAATGGATAATTTTGTTTTTTATTGACAACTTTATTTTTCGACAGAGAAAAATATGTCAATGCTTTTCTTTTGTTTTTTTTTTTTGTAATGAGAATTCTTGCTATTAGTTGTAAAAGTAAATCGATCAAAAACTTTTTCTTTTTCTTTGTTCACTTTCTATTTCAAAGTGATATTTTCTTATTTTATTCTTTCAGCAAAGAAAGTATTATATTACAAATAAATTGAGCACTGCTTCTCGAGAATAAGAAGAACAACTCAATGGTAATCGTAATCACGAAATAGATAAAGAAATATTAGTTAGTAATGAAAAATCTTAATCTTCTTCATAAGATTTTAAAGTTGGTTCAAGAAACGTTTTAAAAGTTTCAGCACAAGTTGGTAAATTTAATCTAAAGTAAATAAAGGAAAAAAATAGTCGATACAGTAATTAATAAATAAAAATCTTATCTACCCATATTGCATCCATTTATTTAAACGAGGTTGTACAACTGTTTTCAAAGCAATTGGCTCTTGACTTAACCAAATTCCAAGTATGCGAACAGTTGCTTGAAGAACCGTGTCAAATGGCTAGAAGAAAGAGGATTCTCGATACAAATAAAATAATTTTGGATATTTTTTACTTGTTTATTTTCAACATTATCAATAATTTGATCGATAAGAAAGATACAACCATGAAACATTTCAATTAATTTAGATAGAACGGATGAAACATCATCATCAGTTAATTCATCGGATTGACAAATAGCAGCTATTGTATATTCAATGATTAAATAACAAGCAGCAAGATGTTGTTGACGTTCTAAGATCTATCATAGACGAAAACAATGGTTCTGATTGAGATATATCAACAAAAATTTAATAGTATTTACTTCGTTTATTTGAGAATTTTCCACCATCATACGTACTTCAACAGCACATAAAAGAACCAATAGTATGAATAGATTTTTATTATGTTTACAAAGAAATGAAACAGATTTATGCTGCTCTATTAAACAAGCATAGACATCAATAAGAATAGCTCGTTGTTCGTTTCCTAATTAAATAATAAAATTAATATATAAATAAAAATTCTAGGTCTTTTTTCTTAAAAACTTACGAATACGACATTGTAATAGATTTCCAAGACTATCAAGCAAGATATTATCTGGTAACGATCGAAATACATCCTAATTAATATATATATATATATATATGTATACAAATAATCGAAGAAATAGTTTTAGACTGATTGATAATCATACATTAGATATAGTAGGAATGACAGAACAAAGTAATTGACAAGCTTCAAAGAATTTTTCATTCTATAAAAAAAAACAACGAAATTATTATTAATAAAATATCTTGAAAAGATAAACAACCAACCTCAGTACTGCTCAATGATTGAGAACATAAATCGAAAAGTTTTTTGCATGCTGTTACATCCATCACTTCTTTAAAAAATTACTTTTTTCTAAAACTTATAAGTTTCCTTTGAAATTATTTATTTTGTTTATCTTTTAAAAAAAGCCACCATTGTGAAAATTATATGAGATGTTTTCTACAAACGAAAAAATAAACTATATATTGCCTTGGACAACTTAAATATATAAACAAAACACAAAAGAATATATAGATTTTGTTGTCCACGACGAAAAAATAGATATTCAAACGAAAAACGGACGGAATCATAAACACACAAACGTTAAACATCAATAAACAAAAATATGAATTTGATATGTTTATTGTCATATACATATATACTATACAATGGAAGACTATTGATGATTTAATTGAATCAACTCATTTGTACTGTTTCATCAAGTTGTTGTTCACTTGGAATATCATCGCCATCGTCATCATCATTATTTTCATCATCTGGTGGAATATATGTAAATTTTTCTTCTTCAAAAATTTCTCTGGCTCGTAGAATATCACGAGTTAATCGTATTGCTCGATCATGCAAATCACATCGAAGCAGAGAATGTTGACATGCTTTTCCACCTGTCGTTGTTGTTATTTTATTCGAACGTTGAGGTTGATTATGAAGAAATTCTATATATGGTCGACGATTTTCATCCTCTACATCAATAAAACAAAGTAACAAATTTAAAAAAAAACAGAATTCAAATGAAGTTCTTTTGTCGATTCTAATCTCTTATTTTTGTTTCTTTCTTTTTTTGTGATTATTTGATAAATTGAAAAGTTCTTTACCCATTACTAGTGATAAAACTACTAGAACTGAAATTCATCGTTTGAACTTATATTGAGTCCATCACGATGTCTCGATAAGACTAAAAAAGCTTAAAAGGGTTCGTCTCCATGAATTTTTGAAACCGAGTTAGGTTCATTTCACTGAGTTGTTGATCTGACTTTATGTATTTACTGAGAAATAAAAAAAATAGATGTTCTATGTGAAATTTTGCTCACAGATAAGTCAAATGGTCCTTAGCATATCCTGAAAGTTTCAGGCAAAATAAATGTTCTTTTGTTAAGATATCAAATTTCCAAAAAAGAATCGCTTTTCATACACATGATTCAAAACTCGAGTAAATTTGGAAATTCAATATGTCGACAAAGAAATATTCTTTTTGACTAAAATTTTCCGAATATGCTAAGCATCATTTGATCTATCTAGTATAAGCAAAATTTCAAGGTAATATTCTGTTTTATCATTTTTCAATAAATAGCGAAAAATTGGTCGAAATTTCAATAAAATGATCATAACTTGGTTCCAAACGTTCGTGGCGACGAACTGTTTGAAACTTTTACTAGTCTTATCAAAGCATCCTTGTTAGTCCCAAATAAGTTCAAATCATGGGTATGAGTTCGAGTGGTTTCCCTGTAAGCATATT